TATGTCAGTTTTACGTGAAGGAAGCTGTGTTACCAAGTCCTTAGAGCAACTCAAGCTCTTCACCCTGTTACTTAAAGGATTTGTTCTCAGTTGCTGTGAGTTCAACTACACTAGCTAATTTGGACATTGTCAACAACATGCCTACCTGAAAATTAACTAACCCCCATTTTTCTTTGCTTGATGAGCCCAGGAGAAAACTCCATGCACAATTCAACCAATTGTTAGTGTCTCGATTCAAGTTAAAATGCAAAGAAAATGTTGGGATTCCTCACTTTATCCTGCATTATCCTGTATTGCACATTAAAATCATGTAATCTGGGAAATAGGCACACACAAGTTCGAGAACATGGTAATGTTTTTAAATCCATGGACCAGGTAAAGAGCACGACCATCTTTAGCTCTATGAGCAACACAGTGACCTATACTTTTATTGCATAAATTTCATGTACCATTTATCCCTTTAAATTGGGGATTCAAAAGAAAAAATCTCAAAGGTAAAAAGATAAACCTTAAAGCATGTACAAATTAGGCCCTTTACTTGAGGATTCAAATTATGATCTTGAAAGGAATGACTCAAGGAACATTTTGAGTCTATGTCATTTAAATTTACTTGATTTTCTACCACTATTTATATCTGAAATTGTTCCATATGCTCCAAACTTTCTATGTATTGTATCAAGTTATTTTCAAAGGGTTACTTTAAAAACCTTAGCTTCCACCTGCAGCAAGATGTACTGTGAACTGATGAAATGACACTCATTGATTAGTGCCACCGCATAGGCATAAATGGGGTATGTTTGGCCCATTATTTAATCTCCTAAACAAGCACATTGACTTATCTTTTTAAAATTAATGTATTTTTCTAAAGAGACATTTTAGGCGGAACATTTAAGGAAAGTTTAAGGACAATTATTCAACAATTTTTTTTCAGAGAAATTGCCTTAACTAAATTTATGTCTTTTAAAAGAAAGATACTTAATGCTCTTCTGTTTTCCAGTTTTAACTCACTCAATGAAAAGAAAAGCAAAGGTGAACAATCTTCAATCAAAGTGCTTCTGTTATAGTTTTAAAGGCACTCAGTAACAGAGACAATCTGTTACTTGTTCTAATTTATCCCAAATTCTTCATTTTAAAAAGAAGTTTTACAAATTAAGGTTCATTTAGTTTCTTTTCAAATCCATTTCCTACACCACACAGTTTATAAATAACAAACATTCTCAAGTCTCTTTGTCAACAAGAAAGTGTTTCAGAGGACAGGGACACGCTAAGGGATAACTGATTACAATGAAACTTGTTGCAAAAGATACTTTGGTGAGAATTATTCCAAAAGCAACAGAAATTACAATTTCTGCCTTTTGCCTTAAAAATTCCAGGGGAGACCACTTGATGCCTGCAGAGTACAACTGAAACTTAGGTTCCACAATGTCTAACTAAGCTAAATTAAAAATCTGATGAGACAAATTGGCCAATTTACATTTAAATGCTTTTGAGGTCCACTTTAAGGAACTCAATCAAAAATTTGAATTTTGTAAAAGAGATTAACCTTCGAACATTTTTTCACGCTTATTTTAATACTTTAGAACCTGTGATAAGCAATCATTCTCACAATAAATCACCATGATAGAATCTTAAATTCATTTAGAATAAAATCTTTAAACAAAAAGAATAAAAGGTGTTGCTCTTTTGATCATAAATAATGTTTACAATGCGGCTTAAAATGGAAGTGCAAGTCTTCCAAAACCTATGCAAGTCCTTGCAAACAAATCCATGCCAACTGATGTACATGAAAAATACATTTTTCATCTGCGTCAATCTATATACTGAAGCTTACGGACAATTAAAATTATCGATTTCTCGCCTTAGTTCGTGACCGATATTGAAGAATGTAACATGACTTGGATCACGCTACATTTCGAGGAGAGGATTTTGAATGTTTAAAATAATCGCCCAAATTTCGTGGAGTTTGCTGTGATTAACGAAAACAAAACAAAAGAAATCGAAGGGTTGGTGCATGTTAGGATAGTTCATTTGAGTTGTCCAACGGGCGTAACTAAGTCCGTGGACTGGAGATCATTGTTTTGTCCATCACCCCATTCCTTCGTGATCAGTGCAACATTTGTGAAGATGAGTAAGTAACTTTCCTATGTAATAACATACATTTCATTGTCAAAGTACTTTGAATATCTCTCACCTGTCGAGGGGTTCCTGGTAAACATTAGAGTTTCAACATGGTAGAAAGACGTTACTGAACACATCCGATGTACAAAGTGAAGATTAGACGATTTTTAGGATTGGTCATCATCATCCGTCATCAAATGTAACACAATTGTCAAAATAAACTGACTATTCAGTGCGACATCGGTTCTTTCAGTCCTGAACTCGTGGCAGCTCGTCCGCCATTTTGAATGTGGCTGCTAAGAAACTGGGTAGAGAGCTAGTCTTGGCCAATCAGAAAGAAGACATTGTTTTAAGAAAAATCTGAGTTCTTAACTTCAACGAATCTGGATTTTGATTTTGAAATCGGGAATTCGGATTTTGCGGTAAAACACGTAATCTAAAAACGACTTTCAACGCTGAAAAATCCATCCTCATATTAGACCTCAATTAAGAAATCTAACTCCAGATCTCATGGATTTCCATGTTTTGCGTTTTTCCGGGAAATCCAAAAAGGAAAACGAAAAAATATATATATATTTGCTCGGGATTTTTAATGGAAATCCACCTTGGGGACAGATTTTTTAGCGTCGAAATCCGTTTCTACTTTTCATTTTTTACTGCAAATCTGTATTTCAAAATTTTAACCCGGATTTACCAATCGAAAGCACCCAGAACTTTAGAGCCGTTTTCCCAATACTCGCAGTTATTTTGGACTCTTTTGAATAGAAATATGATTATTTTTATATAGTCAACAACTTTAAGGCATTTCGACTATCTATTAAGGCCATCCTCGACAGAAAGTTTCTTAAAAATTGGTTCATCCATGTCCAGCCTACGTGTAGCCGTACTTGGCGAGGGGAGGGGAGGGTACGGCTACACGTAGGCTAATCCATGTCTCCACTTTCTGGGAAATTTTCTCACTGACAATAACACTTGAAACAGTCAAGAGAAAAATAATGGCCTTAATCTTCTCTTGAAACATTTAAATCATTCTCATGATTCACTTTCAACAAAATGCATTTGAGTGATGTCCGCAGATAAGCCGATAGACAAGGTTTAAAAGAACCGATCCAACTATTATGGAATAACCTCTTTGATGATCCTTGGTTTGATGACGGCAGTGGAAAGACAACAATATTGTCTAACCTTCTAAAGGGAACTGAAACCAAGTGATTTCTTTCTTAGCTCATAAAAGTGTATATAAAAATTACATCTCTACTACCGTGTTTTCAGATTTCAAAGCCAAAAAAATTCAAGAGATAAGAAGTTGACTATCGACGCTGCCATTTTCAAAGTCAAAATAGTAATCTGGCCGCAAGCTATCGACTCGCGGAAACCACATCGTGTGGTTCACAAACAGCTGCTACTCTGACCATAAAAAGTAAAAGATCATTATTCGCATCAAAAATATAAATTTTTTTGTGGCATCTAATTGTTAAGGCAGATCATCATTGGGAGACAAAGCGTGGTCAATGTCATCATTTCATAATGATATACTTCTCACTAGCTGAGATGAAAATATGGTTTTTAGAACTGGTAATGGAATTTTCATTCAGCTGCTATCCTTATGCTGGTAACAGAAATCTGAAAATCACAAAGCGCAGTCAATGTCATCATCTTATAATAATGTACTTCTTAGTACCTTAGACGAAAACTACATGGAGAGAGAGGGTGCTTATAAGAGGGGGGTGCTTATTAGAGAGGGGATGCTTATTAGAGTGGGAGTGATTATCAGAGAGGTGTGCTTCTGAGGGAGGGGATTCTTATTTGAGGGGGTGCTTACGAGAGGGGGTGCTTATAAGAGGGGGGAGCTTATTAGAGAGGGCTGCTTCTTAGAGAGTGGGTGCTTATTAGAGAGGTGGTGCTTATTTGAAGGGGATGCTTAAAAGGGGTGCTTATTAAAGAGGAGGTGCTTATCAGAGAGGTGCTCTCTAGAGAGGGGTTGCTCATTAGAGAGGGGGTGCTTATAAGAGAGGAGGTGCTTATTTGAGGGGGTGTTTATGAGAGAGGGGGTGCTTATCAGAGAGGGGGGGTGCCTATGAGAGAGGGGGTGCTTATTAGAGAGCGGGTGCTTATAAGAAGGGCGTGCATGTTAGAAAGGGGATGCTTATTAGAGAGGGAGTGCTTATTAGAGAGGAGGTGCTTATCAGAGAGGTGCTCTCTAGAGAGGGGTTGCTCATTAGAGAGGGGGTGCTTATAAGAGAGGAGGTGCTTATTTGAGGGGGTGCTTATGAGAGACGGGCTGCTTCTTAGAGAGGTGGTGCTTATTTGAAGGGGATACTTAAAAGGGGTGCTTATTAGAGAGGAGGTGCTTATCAGAGAGGTGCTCTCTAGAGAGGGGTTGCTCATTAGAGAGGGGGCGCTTATAGGAGAGGAGGTGCTTATTTGAGGGGGTGCTTATGAGAGAGGGGGTGCTTATTAAAGAGCAGGTGCTTATAAGAGGGGCGTGCATATTAGAGAGGGGATGCTTCTTAGAGAAGGGGTGCTCATTTGAGGGGGTGCTTATCAGAGAGGGGGTGCTTATTGGGGAGGGGATGCTTATTAGAGAGGAGGTGCTTATTAGAGAGGAGGTGCTTGTTAGAGAGGAGGTGCTTATTAGAGAGGAGGTGCTTGTTAGAGAGGAGGTGCTTATTAGAGAGGGGTGCCTATCAGATAGGGGGGTGCTTATTACAGAGGGGGCTCTTATCAGAGAGGGGGTGCCTATTAGAGAAGGGGTGCTTATTAGAGAGGGGGTGCTTATCAGAGAGGGGGTGCTTATTACAGAGGAAGTGCTTATCACCTCCTTTCTAAAGAGGTAATTGTTCCACTGGAATAATGGTATTTGTAAGAGTCATCAATTCGGTGTCAATTCCACAATTTATTTGATCTGATCAACTACACTCAGCACCCTGCTTGAATACAATACCGTATGAGAAATCCTTACAAACAAGCAAGTGTCCAAGTCCATGACCTTAAAAATTGCAACAATATCCATAATGGTTCCATAATGTTCTATTCCTTCAATGTAAGTCCAGTTAAAAGATCATTCAAAAAATAAAGGCAAAAATAACAAGCAATAAAAACACACGTGCACTGAGGTTTGACCTTAGTGTTGAATGACAAAACCTCGGCAGAGAGAGGGATTAGTGCACAGGAAACCTAACATTTACAGTATTAAAAGATTAAATTTGGACAGATAGTTCAGATTACATTTGATGATTGAGTATGAAAGACACTAAACAGCTAGTTGAAAATAATTACTAATCATGTTCATGGGAAGTTTCTAGAAAGGTAATGAAACCTTTCCCATCCTTGCCTTGAACATAAAGACACCTGTTGATAACATCACCACATTTCACATGCAAGAGACTTTCGCTTTCTTGAATGTATAAATGTTGACAATTACATTTTGATGAACAATTTCCTTCAGGACTACATCCTGTGGTAAAGGAAGGTCTAGGCAAACAATCAATCCATTCAAGCCATACTCTGTGATCAATGCATAGGCAACATTTTAGAAGAGGAAGTAGCAAACCACTCTACCACTGCATTTCCCATGTGCACAAAGGACAAGGTAGCTGCACGAATTTCCTTTTCTAGGATACATCATGCTGTGGAAGGTGACATGATCTTTTGTCATCCTATAGGAAACCAAGTATTCTGGGACAGGACCACTTCCAAATGCTGTAAAAAAGACATTTTGAAACTGTGTCAGCATTTCAAAGTGCACAGGTTCATACAGCAGGATTCTCCCTTCTGTATACTAAACACTGGGCCTTTCACCAAGAAGATGTTTTGCAAACCTAGTAGCACTGGGTGTGGATTTGCATTTCTGTGGAACATGCACCTTGTAGGTTTGGCTTACTCCTAGTTTTTCCACCATTTAATTTCTTTGGGAGTCCCCTTGTTCCAGAGAACTGATTTACAAGGTGAGCGACAAATGCTTCAAATACAAAAGCAGAAGTAAGTGCTAAGGACTCTTGGAAAGAGATGTGGAATTAAGCATGGGAATTGTATGTACACTCTTCAATACCATAAAGACTTGGTAAAAGTTTCACAAAGTTATCAACCAAAACTTGAGCCTCCTCTACACAAGGTTTGGAAATAGGAACTGAGTGCAGGAAATGAAGAGCAGTATAGTGCAAAGTGATAAAAGTGGTCTGTGCCAAATTCTTCAGAAAGTACAGCATATTGAGGATATGGCAGTCCAGCAAAGAGGGCAAACAAATGAAATTCTGATGCTTTCCAGTGTTTTAATTCAGCAATACTACATGGCTTTCTGGTAAAGTCATGTGGCACTTTGATAGAAAGGAACATGTTGTCTAACTCATGACTAATTCCTATAGCAAACTGTTTGAATCTGCAGCATACTGAAGATTGAACCACCATTTGAATAGCTGCATGTCTTTTCAGGATGCCTTTGCAAACACAATGCATCCAGTCAATAGGTAAATTGTCTGGAATGTCAGTCAATTGACAAAACACATTTTCTCCTTTAATGCCAAACACTGTGGTGCCTCTTGCCTCCACAATTCTCCCAAACATCCTGGTTTCTTGTGCTCTTCTGACAGCCACAGTACCAGAAGGCCAGTTTTCATACAGCCTTACATGTATTTGCCCATCAGAATGACTGTACCTCCCTGGATGTTTGCAAGTACTGCAGCCAAATTTACCATTGTGCTGCTTGATATTATTTTAAAAGCAAGGCTTTGGCAGGCAGGTGTGGTATAACAGATTGGATTTTACACACTGATGACACAAGTTCACATGTTTCATTGTTAAAATTACTGCCATTTGCCATATTGAATAATTCAGCGGTAAAATGTTTCAAAAATGATGGCACATGTGATTTAGACTTCCCATGCCACAGTCCAGTAAGTAGGATGTTTTCAAATTTGTATCTTTCTTGGGGAGGTAACTCCACAAGAAAACAAATAAGTGTCTTCTTAAACTTCTTGGACTTAATCAAGGGTGCCCCATCAGTGCTAACTACAATTAAAAGTGCTTTCTTTCCTCTGGCGCAAGGGTCATGCTGGATGAATTTTTGGTACACTCTACCATTCTGTATGTCTCTTATGCAGTCTTCAGCTGGCAATTGTGCCTTAACCATTCTATAGTCTTTAATAAATTGCCAGTGTTCTGAAAATATATTATGAAGGAACAGTTTTAACTTTCCTTTATAACTTTGTAAGAGGACGATGAAAAAAAAAATTATTATATTAGTATGTGTGAAGTAGAAAGGGCTCTGTCATCAATAGAAGTAGTTTCAAGCAGATGTCTGCACAGAAGATGGACAATTTTTTTAACAAATAGAAAACCTTTTGCAGGGTAGAAGAACTCCCCATGAAGTGAGACTCACCTAATAATATCCTTTTTCTCTTTCTGAAGTTTGTGATCCTCTTCAGATTCTTGCTTCACTCATTTCTGTTATCAGAAGGTTCAATGAGTTATTAAAATAATAACAATAATAATGATGATAATAATCACTGACCACTTCCCCAGTAGGGCTTCTCAGGGCCAATTCACACAAATTGTAAATAAACATTGCAAAAACAAAGATCCCAACTAGTCATGGGGCAGACCAGTAAGCTTTTTACAAGCACAGCTTCGGAGTTAAACTTAGGGCAACCAAAAACAAAACAGTGAGTATTGGGGTGAAGAGCTGAACCTGAGACCACAAGACTAGTCCAGTGCCCTAACCACTCAACCACAATGCCTCCAAAATTTAATGCTCATAAAATTCACATGCGTGTCATAGCAGCAATAATATTCCATATATTTTTTTTGAAGACACCAGCTTTTAGTAGTAAAATGAAGGCATAATGAAAACAACAAAGATCATCGGTAGACTTTTTTAGAACCCATTTAATTACTGGGAATAAACTGAGTCTGATTGAGCACTAGTATTTAACAACCTTTTAATCAAAATGACATTGTCAATATGTCAGTTAAGTCACGTTATTATATTTGACTCTATCATTCCTCATCTCTGGGTACTTCTCCTAGTTTTACACTTATTAAAAAAAAAAAAAAATGATATCAACTGGTCATTCTCAACAGTGATTTAGCTTTATTTAATCAAATACGGATCACATAACCAACATTCTAGTCCAACAGATTACCCAAGAATTTTCATTTTTACCTGCAGGATGTAGCTTCCTTAAAAAAGGTTTATACAAATCCAGTATGTTGTCTGCTGAGGGTAGGTCATCTCAGCATCATCACTTCAATCTGCCTCTAAAAGTATCAGCATTTAATTGTCTCATGCTGTGTAAAAAAGACACTCAAATGACTGGATTAATTTGGCCATTGCTTACCCCATTATAAATACATACCTGGTTTTTAGAGCCAATTGGACCAAGGGAAAACACAAACAAACTTAAGAAATGATAGAAAATGAAAACTAAACCAGAAAAAAATAACAGGAATTAAATGTTCATTTAACATAAAAATCACAAATTCTTGATTTTGAAAGAAGTTTTACAAATTAAGGTTCATTTAGTTTCTTCTCAAATTAATTTTCCACACTACACAGTTTATTAATAATAAACATTCTTAAGTCTCTTTGTCTACATGAAAGTGTTCCAGTGGACACTGAAACATGCTATGGGATAACTGATTATGAAACTTATTGCAAAAGATTAACTTTGGTGAGGTCTTGCAAAAGCAAGAGAAATTACAATTTCTGCCTTCTAATTTAAAATTTCTGGGGAGACCACTTGATGCCTGCAGAGCACAACTGAAACTCATAGGTTTCTCAGTGTCTAACTTAGCTAAATTAAAAATCCGATAAGACAAATTGGCCAATTTACATTTAAATGCTACTGAGGTCAACTTTGAAGACCCCAATCAAAAATTTGAATTTTGTAAAAAGAGATTAACCGTCTATTATCTTTATAGCTCCAGGCGTCGAAACAACGTCGGAATGTCCCAAAGATACACAGGATTTAATGCGAGGACATCGAGCGAAATACTGATTCAAGACACCAAAGACCAACTATAATTCCAAACGTAGTTTATTCGTACTAATTGTGACTTGATGTCCAAAACCGTCAAACTAAAATACAATTAAAAACCTAGACTAAGCGATACTAAAGGACTGAAACTAAAATAACTATTTTATGACACAAATACATATCAATTACACGAGCGCAAACACAGCTAACAATGCAACATTCGGTGACAGGAAAAGAAAACAAGGAAATCAATACAATAATACGGTCGCTTACCGATTTTCCTCTCTGTAACGCCTGAATGAGTCGCAATGAACGCAGAAACACTCGCAATGAGCTCTCTTGTTAAACTATCTACCGCAAACGACAACGCACGAGGTCTGACATATGATATCGAAGCGTCACTAATACAAAAACAAAGACTAATACGTAACAGAAATAATACTTAACTCGACAGCAATTACAATCTTTTAGCTCTTATTTCAATGCTTAAGAACCTGTGATGAGCAATCATTCTTGCAATAAATCACCATGATACAATTTTAAATTCATTTTGAATAAGAAAATCAGTAAACAAAAAAAAAAAGGTGTTGCTCTTCTTGACCATAAATATGTTTACAATGCGGCTTTAAATGGGTGTGCAAGTCCTATAAATATAATCTCCTTCCAAACATAGCCATGCCAACTGATGTACATGGAAAATATATTTTGCATCTACGTCAATCTATATACTGAAGGTCACAGTTAATATTATCGATTTCCCGCCTTACTTCCTGACCAATATTGAAGAATGTAACACGACTTGGGTCACGCTATATTTCAAAGAGAGGATTTTTAATGTTCAAAATAATCGCTTCCATTTCGTGGTGTTTGTTGTGACTACCGAAAACAAAAACAAAATCGAAGGGTTGGTGCATGTTAGGGTAGTTCATTTGAGTTATCCAACGGGGTTAAGTCCAACGGACTGGAGCTCATTGTTTTTTCCATCACCCCATTCCTTGGTGATCAGTGCAACATTTGTTAAAACATGAGTAAGAAACGTTCCTATATAATAACATACATTTCATAGACACTGAATCGGTTAAAAGTTCTTTGAAGATCTCTCACCTGTCGAGGGGTTCGTGGTAAACATTAGAATTTCATCATGGTAGAAAGACGTTACTTCACACATCCGTTGTACAAAGTGAAGATAAGACGAGTTCTTAGAACAGGTCATCATCATACGTCATCAAATGTAACACAACTGTCGAAATAAACTGACTGTTTAGTGCGACATCGGTTCCTAAACAGTTATAAATTCATGGCAGCTCGTCCGCCATTTTGAATTTGGTTGCTAAGAAATTGGGTGGAGAGCTAGTGTAGACCAATCAGAAAGAAGTCACCGTGTTCAAAGAAATCTGGGTGCTTAACTTTGACGAATCTGGATTTTGATTTTGAAATCGGGAATTCGGATTTTACGGTAAAACATGAAATCCAAGAACGACTTTCAACGTTGAGAAATTCATCCTCAAAGTGGATCTCGATTAAGAAATCCAACCGCGGATCCCATGGATCTTTATTTTTTGCGTTCCTCCAGGAAATCCAAAAAGGATCTCTTCAAGGAGGGGTCTCAATGAGGTTAACCGTTGGTTATTAAACGAAAAAGAAATGAGCTCTGGATTTTTTTAGCGTCGAAATCTGTTTTTGCTATTCATTTTTTTACTGCAAAATCTGTATTTCAAAATTTTTATCGGGATTTACCAATCGAAAGCACCCAGAAATTAGCGCCTTTTTCCCAATACTCCACCAGTATTCGCGGTTATTTTGGACTCTTGAATAGAATGATTTTTTTATATAGCCAACAACTTTAAGGCTTTTCAACTATCTAATTAAGGCCATCCTCGGCAGTAAGTTTCTTCAAAATTAGTTCACCTATGTCTCCACTTTCTGGGAAATTTTCTCACAGACAATAACACTTGAAATAGTCAAGAGAAAATAATGGCCTTTATTCTCTCTTGAAACATGAAAATTATTCTTGATTCACCTTCAGCAAAATGCATTTCAGTGATCGAAATACGCAGATAAGCCGATAGACGAGGTTTAAAAGAACCGATCCAACTATTATAGACTTACCTCTTTGATGATCATTGGTTTGATGACGGCAGTGGAAGACAACAATACTATCTATTCTTCTTAAAGGAACTGAAACTGAGTGATTTCTTTCTTTGTTTATAAAAGCCAAAGCCAAAAAAATTCAAGAGGTAAGAAGTTGACTATCGACGCTGCCATTTTCAAAGTCAACATAGTAATCTGGCCGCAAGCTATCGACTCGCGAAAACCACATCGAGCGGTTCAAAAGCAGCTGCTGCTCTGACCATAAAAAAGAAAAGATCATTAGTCGTACCCAAAAAATATATTTTTTGTAGCATCTAATTGTTAAGGCAGATCATCATTGGGAGACAAAGCGTGGTCAATGTCATCATTTCATAACAATGTACTTCTCCCTAGCTGAGAGGAAAATTATATGGTTTTCGGAATTAGTGACGGAGTTTCCATTCAGCTGATATTCTTCAGCTGGTAAGAGAAATCTGAAAATCACAAAGCGCAGTCAAAGTCATTATCTTATAATAATGTACTTCCTATTTAGACGAAAATTATATGGTTTTTAAAACTGGAGATGGAATTTCCCTTCAGCTGATACTGATCTTTAAGCTGGTTAAAGGAAATCTGAAAACAAAATTCCCTCACAACAGGGCTCCTCTTCACATATCTTTAAACACAAACAAACAATTTAGAACGAAAAAATGAAAGTAATGATTAATTGGACAGCGCTGTCAGGTAGTCTTGGATTGAGCAACGAACCAAACAAGCCGGAAAGATTGAATTGAGGGAGTTGTACACAAATGAATGAGGGCGCTGCACATGAATCCAAAGTCGACCAAGAGATCATGAAGTGATGATATTGATTTATTTATAAATCGATTTTTTTTAACTCTGACAAGAGGTCAAGGGCCTCAGTTGAGAACAATAGCTGTGTATGTCCATGAAGAAATTTATCAAATATGGCTTAAATGAGTTTGTGAATTAGCAGTCTTTCAAACTTCTTCTTTGCCATTGCTAAATTGACCACGACGTTTTCCCAAAAAACATCTTTATGCCCTGGAAAAAATTAATTTATTAGAAAGTTTAGTAGCCCACTAGCATGTATATTTACATGCAAGCTCTTTTTTACTGTATTAAAGCGCGTTGATAAGGCAGGATTGAGGTTTTATCTCTACCTTTTCCCCTTTTTAATGGCAAACATTTTTATCTTGAAAGTTTTTACGACAATGTTGCAGACAGCGAAAAAAAAAAAAAAAAAAAAAAAAGAAAGAAAGAGTTTCGTTGGCGAGTTTGTTATTATTATTTTTTATTCAGATTAATTTTTTCGGGTGTACAGGATAGCGGGATTTTAGTATTTTCGTCAAATTGTTGTTATAGACCGAGACAAAAACCTCAAAACTAAAGGACTTAAGCTCATATTCAGCCATCTTGACCTCGCACTTTGTCAAAAAAGTGTATCTACAAATCCTGGTCATTTAAATATACTTCGAAAAGGAGTTTTCTCTTTTCCTCTCCTATGGTATCTTTTGGTATTCACATGAGACGTGGGTGATCTGATCAATTAACTAATCGTGTTTTTTAGACACCTTGAACTTGACAATTGGGTTGACATGGACACTCTTTCGAAGTTCAGTTGAGCTTTTGGTAGCATGAACGTGTGTCATGTTTCCTGTCATCAATCTAAAACTTGTTGGCCCATTACTTAGCTAATGCGCAATCTGATTGGCCATTCGTGTCCAACTGTCAATACAGCCTGTGTAGAGTTTCCTGTTGGAATTAGCTTTGAAAAAGTCAAGTAAGGAAAGAGCTCAGAGATATTGAATTTTCTTGTACATACCGTAATGATTCGATTTAGCGCCCGGGGCGCTTATTTACTCTTGATATCTAAAGGGAGGGCGCTTATTCGAAACGGGGCGCTATTAAGGGACACGGCACTTTAAATTTTCGAGAAACAGAAAATTATGCGAACCAAAGCTTTGATGTTTATTTGAAACCGACCAAGAAGACTGTTGAACGGAAATGCTGTCCCTGGATCTTTCCTGGCCAGAACGCCGGAACAGCCAAGAAATCGTCGTCGCAAAATTTGAAGGCGTGATCACTCGTTTGAAGGAACTATGCTCACACATGAAAATTATAGTTGGGAGACTAAGACTAAGACCACTGTTTTTGAATGTATAATAATAATGATAGTAATAATAATAAAAATAATAATAGTAATAACGGTTTATTAATAGCATTTCCATGGGTAAAATGGCTTTACATCTGTTACATGCGCATCTCTACGAAATATCTACTGCAGCTTTTAAAAGTTTATGAGTTTCTTTCGAAAAGGTGCTAAAGTCCGGGCAGGGTTTCACCGCAGCCAGGAGGGAGTTAAAACGCTTAGCGGCACAGTCTTGAAATGTGCCTGACTCCAGTGGTATTTTAAGGTTAATAGGTTCGCTGGAACGTAAGCATCTACCGTGTTGTACAGTTTCAAGCCTCATATTCCTGGGCCAATGTTCATCATACAGGGCTTCGTGTGCTGCTTTAAGTAAATGCCAGTCCCGACGCTCACTCAATGGTAATCAGCCTAATTTAAATAGAGAATTCACAGAGTTCACATAGTGACCTGTGACAAAGCTGGCAGCGGAAAACTGAATATACTGAAGCTTTTAAAGCAGATTTTCACTGAGCGGGTAAAATACAATGTCACTAAAGTCTAAGCGTGATAGAACTAACGATTCGGCAAGGTCCTTTCTCAACTTATAATTAGTGAAGTTCTTGACTTTTTTAAGCGTGGCTAAGGTACCATAACATGAAGCAGCTAAATGTTTCATACGGTCGTCCCATTTGAGGTTACTGTCGACGTTAACCCCGAGCAACTTTCTAGATTCGACTCGCTCAAGAGAGTTGTCTCCGACAGTGAAATTAAGTGCGCAATCTGCTAATTTGTGATGGGATGACATTTGCTGGGTGGAGAGAACCATTAATTTGGTCTTATTAGGGTTAAAGGTACGGTTAAAGTCCTAAGACCATGATCCAAGTTTGGTAAGGGATTCGTTTAAATCGCACGTCGTTGATTCCAATTCCCTTACTGCACAGTGGGTGTAGAGGGATGTGTCATCAGCGTACTGAGAACAAGATGTGGATAGATCGAGGTTGTCTCGGAGGTCTGATACATACAAATTGAAGATCATCGGCCCGAGGATCGATCCTTGAGGTATTCCAAACTGTGACAATTTGTGGTGTGATTTAGTGTCATCAATTTGTACGAATTGTGTTCCACCAGATAAATAGCTGAGGAGTCACTTTAAATAATTTTTGGAGAAGCCGAGTTTGTAGAATTTCTTTAGCGTCGTCTTGAAACAAACCGTATCAAAAACCTTAGAAAAATCGGTGAGAACCATCAAGGTGACCTCTTTCCTTTTCATAGCAAGCTTTATATCATCTCTTATTCCAAGAAGGGCAGTAGTGGTAGAGTTTCCTTCACGGAAACTGGAAATGTTATCACGAAGAAGAGAGACGATATTTGCGAACTCCGACATCTGCCAGCCGACCAACCTTTCGAACACCTTAGACAACACCGGTAATATCGAGATTGGTCTTAGTTCGTCATTGGTCGTTGGGTTGTCTACCTTGGGTATGGGCGACACTCTGGCGATCTTCCAAAGCTTTGGGAAGTATGCTTCAGTTATACAACTGTTAATGATTCAAGTAAGGGGGCCCGCCAAGTGGTCAGCCACTAGCTCTATGAATACAGTTGGAATCTGATCGACTCTCGAGGAACAATCGGTTTGAAGAAAGCAATTAAAGGAAGATGAACCACCTTCGAATGTGCAGGTGCTTATTTGAGGGTGCGCTTATTAAAGAGGGGATACTTATCAGAGGGGGGGGGGTGCTTATCAGAGGGGGTTGCTCATCAGAGGGGGGGTGCTTATTAAAGAGAGGGTGCTTGTTAGAGGGGGCGTTTATTAGAGGGAGTGCTTCTTAGAGAAGGTGCTTATTAGAGAGGGACCTTATTAGAAAGGGGGTGCCTATCACAGAATGAGTGCTTTAGCATGAGGGCGCCAAATCGAATCATTACGGTACTGATCACTTTGTACAGTACCTGTTTTTAAAAACAGTAAAAAAAGCTATTGATTTTAACAGTTGACTCATTAGTTCATGTTATCTTATTACTCACTTGTTTAGGCGTAGCATCCTTTGTCGTAATTCTTTGAAACATTTTAATTTCATCAGTCATACAGTCCACTTTGTTCCTACATTTCTTAATGGTCATTTCTTGCTCTTCCTGTTTCCGCAACACGTCTTGAGTTCATT